TTGGGATCTATTAAAGAAGCTTTAACCAGTTTCTTTAGAGATTCGTCAAGTGAGCTTTAAGCTTTGTACTTATTAGTATACGATAAGTCTCTGTTTTTCTAGGAACATTGGGTGCGAAATGCTACTGGAATGTTACGCACAACAACAAACTGAGAATTTTTTCTTCAAAGTTAACTTTAGCGGGGAATAGCTTTTTAAAGTAAGGCTGAATCAAGTTTAGAGATTAGCGCACATTTAATTCACAAAACAAATTTTTTAGTTTAATTTCATCTTAAAAGACTTTCTTAGATACGTATATTGAGTGCTCAGAAAAAAAGTAATATATAAATAAAACCTGACATTATTAATGTACCTGATGTTAAGTTCTGCTAGATAATTGTTAAAATAGATGGTTCTGTCCTACTCACAGACAGGATTGAAACACTCTCGTTTATACTTCTGAAAGTTTGATGCTTTCTAACGTTTTCTTTTTAACCTGTTCTTTTATTAGAACTGAAAAAACAGGCTTAATAATCACTTGTTCTCGTATTAAGGTAGAACTGTTTTTCCTACATTTGGTAAGCGTCGGTTATAGAAACGGCAATATGCCTTAATAGTCAAACAGACAATTTTAAAAGTTAAGTCCGTTACTATTCATAAAGTATAAAGGTTCTTACAAAACATGTTGCTTTAGATTTCAGCCATCCTCAAAATCCCATACTCGCTGGGCCTGCGCTCGGTTATTTAAACGCTAAAACGATGTGCATTACCGTAGGCATAATATACTGAATAAAAAGAAGCCCACATTGAGCAAGTGTAAAAAATTGAATTATGGATCAAATTGACAAAAATTTAAAAGTGAAATATCTTTTGCAATTAAAAAAAAGACGTTGTTGGTAACTTTGTGAAGAAAAACTTTGCAGGTTACTGTAACTGTTTTTCAAATTTATTTGTTTTTTTTGTATTCAAATCTTCCACACGCACTCTGTAACAAGGTAAAAAAATAAAATAAATCACAAAAAACCATAAAAAGCTTGTATCTTCACAAAATAGTTGTTGTTGAGAATGTACCAGACAGACCTGACCGTCAACAATTTGTGATGTTGCCAACTAGTAAGTACTGAATGTGGCGCGTTGATACCGAAGTGGTGCGGGCCTTTAGTGCTATGAATGGCTAATGCCTTTTAACAAAAGAACAGATAAAGTTTATTAAAAACAGTTGAGTTTTCTATGAGCGACAAGAGTTGCCGATTAAAACTTTGCAGTAAAATTTACACCTTTTTGTTTGAAAATAACAGATAAATAATAAAAATAAATAAAAAACAAATATTTGATAGGTAGAATGCTAATCTAACAGTAGGCGAAAGAAACAGAATAGCGCAGTAACTTCATTTAGTATCTTTCTAATCTCGAATCGTGAGAATTCTTGAAGCTGTTTTCTACTAACCACCACAAGACGCATCTTCTGTTTTTTTTTCTATTTTCTTTTTTCTTTATATGAAAACGCTGATCATTCCTCGAACTTTATTGTGTTCAGTCGAATTTTGTTGTATAACTTTTACAAGCCTCTCTTTTTGTAACTGGCTTCTAAGAAGACCAGTAGGTTAGCAGAAGTTGTTTCTAGGGTGGCGATCATTGCTAAATACACTTCAAATTTTTCTGAAAAAAAGTGTAAATGAAAGTTGCTTAGAAACATGCGCATTCACTGTGCGATTCCAAATGTCGCAGACTTTTGTCGCATCAATTACAGTTTATCGTACTCTGTTACATAGTTTTATTCTACTGACCCTCCTCGTAGTTCAAAATTTTATTAGATCTACGAAAAATAAATTTTTGAAATCACAAAATATATTTGGCAATAAAACAGCTATTAATCTGACTGGTCATTACTTTGAGAGCGTTGTTAAAGGTGACTACAAAAGCGAAGGGGTGAACAGTACATTTAAAATCATAAGCAAATTTTAAACCGAAAAAATTAAAGCAGAACGAAGGTAATTCAACACGCTTGAGAACAATCCTCTACTGTGGTATACTGCTGAACGGCGATCTTCTAGCTTTGTTCTGACTATTATTCTTAGAATAATTTTCCCATCACTTTAGGTAGCTTTTGAAGAAAAGCGAATGACGTCAGTTTGTTAAAAGAAGACTTCTCAACGGTTTGCAAAGAGTAACTTTTGGCCAATTCTGCAAAGTTATCTTTAAAACAAGCGACAGAGTGCACAAAAAAATAAGAAACCTTGTCAGAGCCCTCCAGGCTTCTCTCGTTTTTCACAGTACAACGTCCGTCTTTTTTTCGTATAACACTAAGTTATCAAATTAAAAACAGTTTTAAACTATCCGGGCTTGACTAATACTTTAAACGAACAAGTACATAAATGCACAAATCATCTTTTTTGACGAATGATTCAGCAGTTAAAGCAACAAAACATCCTTGAGCTGTTTCAAAAACAAAATTTAATCCATTTTTAGTTGTTCTTTCGCAACAGTATCCAACGTAAACTTTTACCTGATAATATGAAGTAAAGGAAGTGAAAATAATAACGTGCAAAAAATGAGTAACTTTTTTTCCATTTTTAAATAGTATCCTTATCTGAACCGTACAACAAATTTTTGCACGTAATGTTACAATTCTTTCATGATCTTCAATGCTCATAAATTTTTTACAGAGCGTAATTTAACACTGCACCCCGTCTTTGAAACTTCAGAAGTAGCGGAAGGTAAAAAATTAAAAAACCAATTTATTGATAACTGTGACTAAAAAATACTAAAAGCGATTGTTTTGTGATCATATAGCTTTTGAGTACAAAGTGCACAAATTACTGTACTATTTACGTCCAAAAATTGAAATAATTCAGCGAAGAATAACTGTGTTAACAAAGGTTGATTCATTCCTGGCATAAAAAGCCAGAAAAATTGCTATAAAAAAAACTCAGATAATTAAGTGATTTTTAAGTACTTTTGACTTATCACTGTAGTAGAACTCGAAAAAAAGCTCGAATACGATTATAAATAAGTATTAATAGAAAAAAAAAAACAGAGTTTTTCAAACACTGTTTCAAAAAATGCAGCTTACATGGCTAATAAACCATTGCCTTATTATTTATTTCGTGTTTACCAATCACATACAAAAGTTGAGAAATGCACCAGAAACCTGTAATTGAAAAAATATTGTAAAACTCCGCTTTTTTAGAGACACGTTAATTTCCAACGCTCAGTAAGTTTCAATTTTTAAGTGCTTGTTTTCTTGTAGAGTATCTATCACGTAAAGAAAAGACACGATAAAGAAAGGAGAGAAAAAAATGAAGGAGTGAAAAAAGGTGATTTTGCGGAGTGACGGTGCCAGCACACTAATTGGCGAACCGCTTTTTGGTTTGAAAGTTGAAGTGAA